GAGAGGGGATTGGGCTGATTCTGATCACCAAGAGATGCTCTCTCTACGGTCTGGGTGGGGAAGCCATGATTCCCAGGCTGCCGTCCAGCTTAGCAGGCTGCAGACGTCAAAGCCTGATGTTTAAGCACAAAGTACACTGGGAGGAGAGTGGTTCCCTTGAGATCTGTGCATCTGGTGATGGAGAAAGATGGGCTCCACCCTGCTGGACAACACGTTAGGGATTATTAGAGTGATTACTAACCCTTTTGAGTTGCCTACATCCGTCATCACAATCTTTCCTCTTTCGCTGAGCTGTTTATTTAGGTTTCTCCTGTTTCAACCGGACCTAGAGATAGGAGAGATATGAGATCTTGAGATGGCATTCTGTCCTGCAAGATAATCACGTCACAGATCTGAGTGAGGAAGGAAGAACAAGAGGAGGTCTTTCTTAGAAAGCCGTCCCAGAGTTCAACAAGCTTGTGATTTAAGCATTAATGCGGGTATTTTAGAGATTAAAGACACTCCCTTATGAGCCGTGAAAAGGCAGATTGCTTATCGCTGCATTCCCCCTGGGGATTGAGTTGAGGATACAGACCAGAAATCTTCTAGAGTCAGAATGAAAGCAGACATTTCTTTAGATTCCCAGAAATAAATGTCTATGGGAAAATTACAGTGACATCATTTTTAGTCTTATGAGTAGACCCATGGGACCATTTCAAGAGGCAATGATCAAAACATGACTTAAAATGCTTTGAAAGCCACTGAAAAGAAGGTCAGCTCAGCACAACTCCATACACTGCCGATAAAAACAAAATAAAGCACAATTCTTGAAATCTGAACCCTAAAACTATAAGACTTAAAGGAACAGTTGCCTGGAAAATGGAAATTTTGTCCTCTGCATAACTGTCTATTTAATGAGCCACTTACTTTAAAATAACCCAAACATTTTAGGGGCATCTCTCATGTTTCCAAGGAATGTGGAAGAAGGAGGCTTCATCTCAGGTTTATATCAGAGCTGTCAGGACGTGTCTGGCTAAGCTTACTGCCATACGTCCATTCAGACACAGCTGAAAGCACTGGGGATTTTGGGGAGTCTTTGCCTAAGATTGTCTCATTACATCAGACCAGACGTGCCAAAACACCATCGAATGGATTAGAGCGGTTCAGAAATCTGGAAAGCACATTTGGTCCCTGTTGTGTCACTTTCGTTAGGTGGAGCCACTGTTATCACTCTCCCAGATCTCTGTTTATGCTTGCTGTCGGGGCATCCAGAAGTCAGTTTGATTACCAGATCTCACTGCCACACAAATTGTGAAATATCAGATATGTCAAGAGGAATATCTCATTTGGGATGAAAATTGTATGGTATGCCTTTTGAGGTTGAATTATTTTTACCTTTCATCTCATTTCACTTTAGAGTAGACTATGTGCATATTTGAGGGTGTGTGCAAGTGTATGTGTGATGAATGTAGCTACAAGTTGGCATGACTGAAGTTTGTTTAGTAGCTTTGAAGAGAGACATCACACAGATGTAAATGCAACAGGCATTTCATAAAGCATTGTGTAACTTTAAAACTATCAAAATAATTGCCAAGATAATCATCAGCAATTGATGCATTTTCTTGACAATTTATGGATTTTACACATAACTTAATGCATATTACGCAGTAACAAATGTAGAACATTTATTAAAGTCTACATAAAATGTATGGACAAAAGATATGAATTTTATGCATAAATAAATTGATGCATAAAATGTAAGCATACATTCAGACACTTTAAAAACTGGAAAGTACTTTCCCAATCTGGCAAACTCAGATTTGACTGGCTGACTTTATGCAACACAAGGTTTTCATCAGTCCAACTGGAAACAAAGTTGTGTCCACAAGGTTTAATCAGAGATCTGGCTATGAGAAACAATATTTATACGAATTGTCTAGGATGACCTCATTCACCTCAAAGATCAGTGTTCCTTGTTATACGGATGATGATGATGTTGTACCACAACAAAAGCCATGTCTCTGCACAGAACAATAACATGAAAACACACTTTTTGGATACTGTTTGCATTTTAGCATTAACATCTAGCTAAATTACCTTAAAACCCCAAATTACATACATACTGTATATGATTTGGGATGCACTCATTCTAATCTCATAGACATACCATTTAAGACAGAAAGCTTGGAAAACAGTATGTCACTACTGTCATCGTGTGTTGCGTGTAAAGGGGTATTTTGTTACACTTTACACAATTAAAGACATTCGTTATCATACATGTTAAAAAAGAATGTTGTTGTGCTTCTCATTTGTAGAAAATACACAAATACATAAGTGTACAAAGGCGTTCACGTATGCTGGTCTTGTTTATGTGATATTAGGAGAAGAGGGAACATTCTTCCTAACAGTTATTATAATAAACGTGTCAGGTTTTGGCTTGTGTAAGTCAGCGCTTAGTTTTTATTAACATTTTTAAGAGCTGTAGGATGCATGCCCAGTTCAGCCAATTAAACTATATAGCCAGCCACTCACAGTATCAAGCACGATAGACCCGCTCACAAGACACTCAAGAGTGGAGGCCTATCTGTAATGAAGGAGGGGTGCTTCACGGTGTAAGTGCAATCATGGTGGTAATGCACCCTGAAAAATCACAAAATGCTAAGAATCACAAACAGCAAGCGAGGTATCATATCAATGAGATCTGAGCTTGACCAATCACAGATTGTCATTTCTTTTGGTGTTTTAACTAAAAAGATTCATCAAGGTTCATTGTTTCATCATTCAGTGTTCAGTGTTGCAAGCATCGCTGCCTTACAATATAGTGGCCTTGATACAGTCACACCTGTTAAGACAAATGTAGAATTAGTTTATGATCAGGGTGTGGCAGATATCTTTGTATTGCAAGTTAGGAAAACACAAGACCACCCAGCATGAGCTCCAGATAGCATTCTGAAGCCTGCGTGACAACGAGTTTGATGGCAAGACGCGTGGTGTCCTAAATGACACCACAAATTGTTCTAAATTTAAAGCTCAGCTGCTCAAATGCCCAATGGCAAAAAAAAAAAAAGTAATCAACCCTTTGCCGAAAAACACTTAAAAGAGTATTCCGGGATTAACGCAAGTTATGCTCAATCAAAACAAATCAACATTTGTGGCATGTCAATTACCACCACAAAAAAACTATTTCCACTTGTCCCGTTTACTTTAAAAAAAAAAAGAGCCAAATTCTGGGTTACAAATTTAAAATAATGGAAGAGAAAGGGGCTAATCAATAAATGTACAAATATTCACTGTTTCGATAGTTTCGATAGTTTAGTCACAAGTGTAAACCATAAGCATGACTGTAGTTCTAAAAAAAAATGCGCAAAAAAAATGTCCAATATTTACTTTTTACAATTTTTACTACACTTTTACTCAAATACTGTAATGCATTAGTTTTAACAACATAATTAACATGCTAGTTTTACAATTACAATAATTTATGCTTTTAAATCCACCAAAAATTGACTTTCATTGTATTTCACAGTAGCCTCAAATTTGCACTTTGATTGACCTTAACTTTTATTGCACCCAAAATATTCCATTTAGAGTAATCTCTATAGCCAAGATGATTTTCTTGAATGTGTCAGTCAAAAGTGAAAACTCAAATATTTTACTTGAACACAAGTTCAATGACTTTTGGATGTGGTGTAGTTAGTTGAGGATGCAACACCTAAAACAACCAAGAAAATGAATGCACGTTACGCCCAGCCACACGCTTCCTGCATTCCACGCCTCTAGACAAAACTCTTTCTTAAAGAGTGTGGTAATGAACAGCAAAGCCAAAGGTCTTGACTTTTCGAGGGTGATGTTTATTTGCTCAGTCAGTGTCGGCAGCATTACCCTCCTGCTTAAGTTATTAATAATGGAGAGTGGCTGTGCAAACAAGGCACATTTTTGGAGAGGGTGGAGACAGAAGGCCATTAAATAACAGTCAAGGAGGGGCCAGGCCTCTTCTCAACATTAGGGTTCAGCTACCACCCACATGCTAGCAAACACTGTGCGGCAATCTCTGGATGAGGAGCATCTGACACTCAAGTTAAACCCTGCAAGCCCTTTGTGATTGCGTAGTAGCCTAATGAAGGGGTGGCATGGAAACCTTGATTAAAATCCAAACTCTACTGTTTCACAAAACATTTAAAATTTGTAAATTCATTTATTTTATTATTTAATATTAGGATTGCATGTATGAATGCAGAATTTTCAGGACCATGGCAAAATAAATCTGATTTTACCAGAGTTGTGAACGCGAGTTCGCAGTTTGTATTAAATGCAATGCAATAAAACAACATCACGTTCTGCACAGAAAAACAAACACAGAATGCAACTAGTGCAATCTGATTCATGAACAAATTACTTTTATGAACAAATTATTTTTAGTGAATCAAAAACATATCAGCGTAACCAGCATAGCCCCATCACAAACAAATGACTCCTATGAGCCAATTCTTTTTTTGGTGAATCAAAAACATACATATGGCACAACCAGTTGAATGATACCCGAAACAATTGACTCTTATGAGATGGTTATTTTAATGAACATTTGGTAAAGAAGATAGAGAGAGAATTTATTGTGTCAAAATGGAAATATATCTGAAATGGAAACTGGAATCAAATCAGAATAAAATTTAAAAATAAACAAATCAAGAGCTTGTGAATGAGAATCAAATTTGCTGCTCCCTAAAACCATGTTCATGATTAACAGAATCTATTGACTTCCTGTTTCAATAGGAAATAAGTAAACACTGGAAAAAAAGTGATTGAGATGAATGTTCTGTGTCTGAGGTGATCGTAAAGCAAAATGAACAAGATCTCATTGTAATTGCTGTTATGGGCGGCGCATTAATGGCAGCTACAGAAATTTGATCTAGTTTTTAGTTAATTATGTAACATGCAGTCATTCACCAACTTGAGGTGGGAGCCCAACCTAAACCTTCTATTATTTGACATTGACATTGAACATTTTCTGTGTTTCCGTGTAGGTTGTCAGGGACAGGATCCCACTACAGCTGGTGCTACAACAAGCTCGGAACCAGCCTCAACACCAACTCAGGCAGGGATGCCATCAACAGTCTCAGTATCAAACATAGCAACAGATTCGCCAGCATCCTCAACCCCTGAGGTCATAGCTCAAAGCACACCTGAACCAAACAAACCAAGTTCCGGTTACACTACTCATCGCAATGGTATGAGCCATCAAGAATGTTCAAGAAAATAATTTGTAAAGTGTTTTAGTTGGTGAAACTACTATTACATGATTCTTTTTATTTTTAGCTCCATCAGAAACCAACGCCTCTGGCAACAGCAATTCCGCCATCCTGACCATATTCTCAACAGCCCAGCCAGAAACCACAGCCTCCAACAACCATGGTGAAGCGATACAGGGAAAAGTCTCAAATCAAGAATCCAGTCAATTAGAAGTAAGGAATTTTGAGTCCGTTTAATGGATTGGAATTCTGGGTGGAAAAAACAATGGCCTGAAAAGAATATAATTTGACAGATGAATTAAGAACTTTACAAGTTTTCTTTTAGTTGATTATTTATCACTGATTTTCATTGGTCAACAGCTTTCATGAAGAATATGAAAAAAATTCCAAGAATATGCTGACATTTTCCTAAACTCAACGTGTAGTTATTAATCAACAGAAAAGTACCGTTTTTGAATAGAACACCAATGCTGTGTTTTTCTTTACATGTCCCTTACAGAAAACAGGTATGGCAGGGGTACAGTGATGGTTACAGATGGTAATACCATGGCACTGATATTCATTTATGGTACTCCAAAGTACTTCCAATAATACCATACTTCTCCAAAAACCTTTGGTAGTTTTATGGTAACTGTTTTAGTCTTTTTTAATTTACAAAAAAGTACCACGGTACTACCATATTTTTGGACATTTACCAAACAGTATCATGGTCTTTTTGAAAGGAGAGTACGTTAATTTTAGTACCATGGTATATTATACAGTTATTTAAACTCCACTATACAGTATCTCTACAAGAGCTGAAGACTCTTTGCCAACCCAAACCAGTGGACAGAATGACTTCAGATGTTTTCAGTTGCTGTCATCTGCGTCCGTGTACATTAGAAAGGAAGGAAGCTTCGTGTCTGAGAGGATAAAGTTTAGCAAGGCAGTTTGAGCTGTTGATGCCTGTGAGCTCAGATTAGGAAGATCCTGTTTTGTCATTCGCTATAAATAATCCCTGCACACAAAAGATGAATGAGTGGGAGAGAAGAGGAGCTTCCTCTCACTGGTGCCATGCGGTTATGAACCCAGGAAAGAGGTTAGACAGAAGAAGTGGGGGGAGATGATGATCATCTATGTTGGCAAGAACCGATCTCAGACCAGTGAAAGTATTGTTGGTGAGATAATAGTGTTGATAGGCCAGTCTGATGCAGAATCATTCATTTGTTTTCATCATGATAGGCATTGATCGTTCGGGCATGACACCATGGCATGACACATCATAACCTAAATGCTTTGTAAAAGGCAGGGAGATGTGCTAAACTACAAAGACTCCTTCCTGTTCACTTCCTCTTTTTGTTTTCTATATCAAGGGTTCGTATAAGGGACGCATGTCAGGAAGAGTGGAAAATATCTAAATTAGGAAAGCTTAGGAATGCTAAATATCAAAGGCATATCATTTAGTTGGGACGCTGGGGACATGCCCCTACCAATATTCAGCTATACTGAATTGTTCCTGGGTTCAGTTGAATGTTAAAGTTTACCCTCTGTTGTTAAACTGAATGTATTAATCAAACTGTTAGGCCAAATATCCACAAAATTTTAAACAACGCTTAAATAAGAGGGCGCGGTTTATCTGTCAATCAGATGCGCATGAAAGATGCATTCGTTTCTACAGCAACAGTAGACTCCCTGTCACGTGTTCTTTCAGAATCATCATTGGTTCAGTAAAACTTTTTAAATAAGTGATGTGCAAAGTCCTCAAGAGCGCTCTTAACCTCTTAATCAATCTTAACCAATCTTATGTTATAATGAATTTCTTTCTCATGCTGAACACAAAAAAAAAAGATATTTTCAAGAATGTTGGTAAGTAACCAAACTGTTGATGGGCACCATTGACTTCCAAGTAAAAAAAAATAGTAAATGCACAAATAAATATCCCATATCTACCAATATCGGTTGGTAGTATCAATATCGGAGTTATTTCATCAAAACAGACCTACGACAAAAAACGCAACACCCATACTGAATCAACATTCCTTGATCAAATACAAATGATGACTCAAAATGCTGTTGAATCTACACAATGTTTAAATCCCTCTGAATATGTTAATATCTTGGTGTTTATGTGTTTCTCTACAGTCGGAAAAAAAGACAGAAGAAAAAACCGCCTCTGGGTCTTCTCCTGCAGTTTTCGTGTCTGTGCTGGTGACCGGCTTACTGCTTGCTGCCATAATAGTTGGCATATACTACTTCAAGTGCCATCGCCGAACCAACGGCAAAGGCATGAAACTGGTGAGTCCCTAAATGAATGGCCCAAAGAGTCCCCAGAAAAACATCCCTGATCATTAACTGTAATATCCTTACTAATTGTAACATCCTTACTAATATCAACACCAAGCAAATCTTTAAAGCAAATTTACACATTCATTCATTTCCTGCTTTTCCTGACTGATGTCGATGACTACAACAACTGTTTCTCCGCCACCAAGTGTTCCCGATCAAATTCCCATTTTGAATGTGTTATGCAATCATTTTAATTGCAAAGTTTAGCGTATTTGGTAAAGAAGTGTTGCCAAGCTTGTAATTAAGAGGGAAACAATTGGCAGCATATCAGTGCAGCGCAGTTCCTCCAGCACACGCCCAATCTAATGTTCAGAACCACAACACAAACTGTTTCATCTCCTAGCCAATAGTTCTAAGCTGTTTTCCTTCTCTGCTAAATGATGTCAAATTATGAATTTGAAACAAAGCGCACTCCATCGGACCCCAAAAAGAGGAATAATAAAAAAATAAAAAAACATAGCCTACATTCACAGGCTAGGATTTCATAAGCCATATGCTGCTCAACGAATGCTTTAGCTTTGAAGATACATCATGAAATATATTCCATTAAATAAAAATGATTTTATGGCAGTTTTCATATTCTGCTCCAAGAACACACCGACCTTATTTCAAGGGTCTGGCTCATCAAGTGCTGATTTACAAAAGTCCTAAATGAAAATGAAAAATCTGATTTTGTGCCTCTTTCTTTGAGATGGCACCACAAGGCGTTGTTCACTTGCAGAAAGCAAGCTTCTGGAGGGCACGAATAATAATAATAAATAGCAGAAATAATAAAGTCAAATCTGTTTGTATCATGTTTTCCTACAGGCTGAGGAGTCTTACATGGCTGACGAGGAGAACCAGGGCAACACTCTGGTGTCTGTGGCCCCTCTGAACCAACCCGAGCCCCAGGAGAAGCCAAGTCTTAATGGAGAGTCACAAGAAGCAGTGAAGCCCCAAACTCCCCCTGCTGCCACCAATGGCCACTCGACCACCAAGACGGCAGACACAGAGCTGTGAATGAGCCGTTCTGCCAACGAGGGTCTGGGCGAAACGCTCAGTTCCTGCTTCTTAAACCCAACTCAATCTACTGCATATTGACCTTGGCCGTCAGAAGGCACGAGGGAGACAAAGACTCAAATCCCCACATTTACATGTAAATATGATGCAAAATGTTTCATTTAAAGTCATACAGAACAAGTAAACACTTTTGAATCAAAGTATGGCATATAAGATAAAAACAATTGGTCAAGTAATCCTCCTCCTTATCTAGCTAAATAAATGCCAATGCTTGAATGCTATGAAAGATTGTTGTGATGTTATGAAAGTTGTAAAATGCCAGTTATGACAGTGATGATTTATAACAAGAACATCATATAAATTCAATTAAAATATGATGCAACAAAAATCGTTTTAGTCCAAGAGGTGCTACCACTTTTTAACACTACTGTGGGGTGGGGAACCTTTCCCATGAGTCATTGCTGCATGGCTTCCATAAGAGCAGCCAGGGCTGGAACATAACACCGGGAAGATCCGCGCTCCTGTCCCAGCGCTCTAAAGCTTCCAGCTGAGTGTAAATCACATCACAGCATAAAGAAACTCTCTGAATCTAATGGGCACGAGTTGTGTTTTTGTTTGCTTTGGGTTGTGTGTGTGTTTCTAGACTTATGAAATGTTCTATATGTTCTTCTTTGTGTACAGTATGATCTGACTAGCTAATAGTCTTGTATAATTTTGTTAATATCATTGCATGACAAAGTAATGATTTCTGGAGTTGGTGAGCATGAAAAAATCAGTTTAAGTGTACACGTGAACTCCATTTCATTGCTGCGAACAACCCTCAATGTAAAATCCAACAAACTAGGTATGCTGCAAAGCCCGTTAGCACTCAGGGTGACAGCTAAATATTATCTTACATTTCTGGATTGAGTTACACCGTACTTTGTAAACCGGTATTATGCTTTTTTGTAATATTTTTTATTCTAGACATCTAGATGTAGTGTTTATGGACTGAATGACTGACTTAATCATTTGGATGACCTGCCTTAATTTTTAGAACGTTCTTGGGTGGGTGTGTTCTACTTTGTATCTACATTTTCTACTACACTGTACATAAATCATTAGGCATAAACAAGTACGTAATTAGTTGCAGCCATTAAACCCTGGAGTTTACCCATCGCCTTTAGTTTTAGTAGATTCACTCCAATACAATGTGTGTACTTTACAATACAGTGTAGACAAAAATAACATTTCTACACTATTTTTCAACCCATATCTTGTTTAAATACTTCACACTTCTTCACAAGATTTCTGACACAAGACTTGACTAAACCTTTGTGTCAAAATTGAGTGCTAGGGTGACAGTAGTATCTCTTCAAATAAACTGACAAGAAGGTTTTAAGGTTCAATACGAATATAGGAACGTATATACATATGAATATCATGTCCTTTATTTCAACTATGACATTTTGTTTTAACATTCCGGTGTTCAGTCTTATTTTGGATCGGTGTACTAGCATTGTGTTAAACTGATGTATGTTTGTGATAGGAATAAAGTTTTGGAAAATGTATGAGATCACTAATCATTTCTACTTTACCCCATTGAGACCTCGTCTTTGTGTGCCTTGGATCTATATGATGCATTTTTTCATTTATTTGGCTCCTAGGCTGTTTACTCAAGAGTTTCTGTTTGATATGAAATGCACACATATGTTCTCACTCCATCTCTCTCTTTCATTCCTGTACACACGTGCACAAATTTGGCTGGTATCTAAAGGCCATTTAAGCAAACAGCTGGTTTGTATAAGAGACAATGATGACATCATATTGCAGGGATTTGGGTGGGGCTCGGTGGTCCCTAATCAGTTTAAGAGAAAGCAAGTCAGCGTTTATGTGTTACTAATGCTGAGTTCTGCTGTTAATGGGATAATCATGTCACATCACAAATATCTCCTGGAAATTAAGCTATGAATTGCAAAACTTTCTAAACCAGCACAAATATCAATAAAAATGGCAACATTCCAAAGATGAGTTCAGACCACAGAAAAGCCTTATGAGCCCAATTAAAAAACAAATTATATTTTAAAAGCAATTAAAGTCACCATGAAATCAAAAGTGACGGTTCTTTTTTTTTGGGGGGGGGGGGGGATATAGCAGTATTTATTATGAATAATTTATGTGCCCTCATCGATGCAAAATCTCTTCTATTCTCTGATGACGCGTTTACAGGTGCACTACATTTTTTCTTGTTCGAGAAGCTGTTTCACTTGGATAAACGTCAAAATAGGGAAGAAAAGACTATTGCGACTTCCATTTCATGCCTGTGGGGTCCTCAAAAGATACACACAGACTAGGTCATTAAAACCTTCACTATGCTGGAAGTCCGACTGCCTTCTTGTAAGCCAGGCCCAGATCCAGGCCAAATATTTATGCGGTCTTATATGATGAAGACCAACCGCATAAAATATGTTTTGAGTAATATTTAGCAAATATTGCTAAAAACATCTGAAAGGAAACGAAAAAGACTGTCCTGACATTTTCCTGCCTGGAGCACATTTATATAATTTCACATATTTTGACTCTATTGTGAGTCTTCTACTTGTATGTAATTCATAATCTCCTCTGATAATCACAGGACGCTCTTGTTCCCCACAATTCCATTCCCATTTCCCTAATGCCGCTCACTTTCATGATAAATAGCTACAATTCATGAATGAACGACAATAACCTCACAGTCCAACCCACCAAAAAAAAAAAAAAAAAACAAGTACAAACAAACAACAGACTGAGGAACAACCTTCCTTTATGACAGAAATAAATTTCATATCATGACTTAACTGAAAAGAACGACTAGGACAGTTGACCTCAAAATAACCGTTCATTGATGAGCCTACCCTGGGGTATCAGATTCTAACACACATGTACCATATTTTTATAGGCCTATATTATGCTACTGAATGATTTGCGTGTACAGTAGGCATAGTAACGACATGATCCTCCAAGCATAGACTACACCATATCTAAAAATCCATGATATGCCATGGTACGTTTTTGTTATTTTGTAACATAGGCTATATTTTTACCTACAGTACACAGTTGATCTTCACAAAGACCCTCCTCGTCTTTCACGATTGGATGGATTTGAAGGTTTAGTCCAGTTTTCTGTAGGTAAAGTTTTAAGTTCACTGTGTTCTAAACGGTTTGTTGTTCTACAGTTCAAAAAACGTTCTAAACGATTCCGTGTCCGAGTGAGTTAATTAAGACCGAATCGCGAAATGATTCATTAAAAATGATTAATGTTTTGCAAACCCATCCATTTGACAGATTCATTGCAAAGAATCGATTGAAAGAGCCATTCTTGAACAGCAGACAGAAAATACGGACATTGATTCTGACAGTGTTTTTTCAGTTAATCTCAGTCGTCAGAGGATTTATCAGTAAAATTGTACTAATGCTCGTGGCATGACCAAATGGTTATATGGCTCATCCAGAAAATATTTGGCGCCGCCAAGACTATGAGATGGTGCCCTTCCTTGGCTGTCGCCATGTCACTAATAATATTTTTACAGGCCATGAGCAAGGAAAAGTTTTAATCATCATTGCTGTGTTTTTCATGCGTGTTAAAATGCAAGTGTGATACAAAATAAAGTGTTTCCACCAGGCAGGAATAAAGTCTAATTGTCACTAGACTTTAATAAAGCAATATTTATGTCAGTGACAGGGCTTGAAAAATTTGACCACTACGCTACAACTTGCAGTATTTAGCATGTACAGCTATGTATGATCAATAGAAAAAAAAAACATATTTTGTTATTCAATGGTACTAAATGGTCATGTATCCATATTCATATACCATTGTAGGCTATTTCTTCCAAGAACTCCATGTCCAAAATCTTTTTTTGTTGACCAGACTTGTTCTCATTGATCATCAAAACATGTGTTTGACCAAGAGAAATCTGGAGCTTATCTGTTTATCTTTTAGAAAATACAGTTTTTTTCTGCGCGTGTGAGAGTGTGTGACACGAGGAGTCAGAGATTAAACTCACACACATATATCCACACTCCCACCCAAGCCAAGGCAGCAGGGTGTTTTCTCTTGTCGTCCCAGTGAAGGTGTGTGTTGTCGCAGCTGTGAGCTTTGTCGAGTTTTCCTCCGCCTCACTCTGATGGTTAGATAGCCTTGCTGAGGGATAGAGTAAGAGAAGTCCAAGAATGTTATGTGTCAGGGGGGTTCAGGCCACACCAGCCAAGGGAGGGGAGGTCGGAGAATCCCTGGAGAGTCTGTTGTCGTCACAGAGAGAGAAAGGCGGATGAAGGGAGAGGAAGATAGAGGACAGATGAAGGGTGCAAAGTGTACTTCTACCTCATGTATTAAGCTAGAACACTTGAAATGAACATAAATACCAGAAAGAAAATCTTTGGTTCATGTTATCTTTGGTACAGCTTTCTGTTCTGATTGAAGACCACTTCACATTTTAATTCTAACTATTTAATAGTTTTGGAATAGGCATGATTTAATTCGAGTTATGATAATAATTTAATCAATGTTTGCTGATAAAAGCTCCCTAATGGATATAATTGCATGGAAATCCTGTTCTCCAAACCACATGCTGGAGCCGATCTATTTGAATTATTTATATATTATTATTTAAAAATTAAATGTAGCCTATTTATTATTTTAATAAATAATTATATTATATAAATAATATAATATTTAATTATAATATATTATATATTATATAGATGATTTTATTTTGTTCTTTGATTTGGTTTAAAACTTGCATTTCTACACCTGATATTATATTTTGAGACGTCTGTTTCAAATATCACTCATCTTTCTGACAGAGGTGTTTGCAGGTGAATTGTAAGTCAATGCATTCTAATCAAATTAAACATTGGGTAAATGTCCTGGGTGATCACATGCTCTTATATAGCCTATAAAGCCATTTCATGTGACCATTATGTCCCCATTATAGAAGCTGAACCCTCAGGAGGTTTCTATCAGGAATAAGTGAGCTTAAAGGACAAGTTCGGTATTTTACACTTAAAGCCCTGTTTTAAGATCGTTTCTGATGAAATAGAACGGTTAAGATTGAAATTTGGACACATGCTGCTGGCCCGAGAATTTTCGGTTTCTCAGAATAGGTGCACTGGAACAATCCTTCCTAAAACGCATTAAACTTTAGTTTACAAAGACGTGAAACTCACCGAGTGGTCAGGGGTGTTCA